CCCCCCCCCCCCCCCCCCCCTTCCGTCATATCCCGCCTGTTCTACTTCCAGCCCCAAAAGTTACTGCCGTCCTCGATGTCTTCGGTGTCGCCGTCTCGTCACCTCCGTGGTTGTCGTTTTTGTTGTCGTCGTCGTTGTCGTCGTCGCCGTCGTTGTCGTCGTCGCCGTCGTTGTCGTCGTCGCCGTCGTTGTCGTCGTCGTCGTTCGCCTAGGTTGACCACGCCCTGTTCGAGTCGGGGGAAGGGAAAGACGACCAGTCGTCGGCCATGAGGGAGCTGACCGAGCTGACTCGGGAAGCGCTGCAGGTTGCAGAGGGGGAGGAGCCCGGAAACGGGCGCTACAGCCCGTACGATATCGAGGTGCGCACCGGTGGTTTTTTTCGTGCGGCACGTAGCTGTGTGGTGGAGTGCTTGGATTTTTTGTCGTGCAACGTTCGGGTTGTTGTTGTTGTTCCTGGATGTCGTCACCGATTGTCACAGTCGCATTTCTAGTCTGATGTTCTGGCCGGTGATGGAGATTTATAGTGCGGCGCGTCGTAAAGGTGATGCACGTGATGATTTAATTGGCTATTCGAGCGAAGAGTTTTTTCGGGCGGGACAGACCTGTGGCATGCTCTGCCTAGACACCACGTTGTTGCTTGCTTGCGCAAGTCAACTTTTGATATTGATGGCGATCAAAGCAGTGATAGTAACAACTTTATTATGCCCTCTTGGGTTACTTTGGTCTCGATGTTATGTTTTGTTGTGTGTTTAGCATGTTTCACCGAACTCGACGTCCTCGGCAAGACGACTGCGGTTGTTGTTGATTATCGAGACGAAATCTGTCCCGTTGTCACAGAAGCACTAGAGGGGCCTGGGGTTCAAAGTACACACGCGTGTTGGTGTGAATCTTGCGAAAAAGTACGCATACCCTGTCGTGTTGTCTAACGTTTTTTTTTTTTTCTCCCTGTCCCGCACGAACAGACTGCGCTGAAGAAGTTGTACTCGAAACGGTTACGGGCGATTGTCAAGACGACAGGGCGGCGCTGTGACGGGCGAAAGACAGACGAGGTAAAGCCGTGCCTGCTTAGTGCGTGCGGTTAGTTGCCGTTTAGTAGTTCCATCACGGGTACGATTCCGTTTAACGCCGTCGTCCCGAACTATGCCGCAAGAGCGTAGTACGGGTTGCTGTAGTCTGTTTCGGTCTGCCGAATGTGGCATGCCGTTTTTCTTATTTCCATAGAGTAAGCTCGGTAACCGATGTTTTCGTTGATTGCGTTTCACCCTGACAGCAACAGCCACACGACTCCGTAGGCAGATGTTCGTCTGTTCCAACTTAGCCCCATTCTGCCCCCCCCCCCCCGATGTTTGCCATCGGGGTTGGGTTTTCGTCGCTTGGCAACGACGTTGTAAAACAAGCCAATTCGCTTCGTGAACTCGGCCACCAGGTTACCGGTTTTTTTTTTGGCCTCTGGTGTTGTTTTTTTGGCGGTAACCATAATGGTGGTCGAGTAGATAATGTTGTGCAGGGTNGCCAGTTACACAGTGCTTGCAACTGTCTCAGGAAGTGAAAGCACTAGAAAATATGTCAAGGCATACGCAGCTGTCATCCGTACGCAAGGAAGTAAGCACAAGATGCCGAACACCCTTAGCAGGATGCAGCGCACCCTTCATGCGACTCGCCGAATATCTCACGGCGCTTCGCGCTTGGTGATGTGAGAGCCTGGTCCGGTGAGAACCCGGCGTGCTCCGTCCCGGCTTTGTAGGGATGCGAGGTCAATGGTCTAACGACTTCGGCATGCACGACTATGAGTACACCCCCCCCCTCGGTGTTTGCCATCGGGATTCGCTTTTCGTCGCTTGGCAACGACATTGTAAAACAAGCCAATTCGCTTCGTGAACTCGGCAACCAGGTT